AGAGTGAGAAGAGTCTCGGTTAGAGAAGGGGAAAGCGGTTGAACAATGGGATGAACGGTGTTTGCGATTTGGGATTATAGGAATAGAAGAAGTGTAAGAGGAAGATATCGTTAAAGAAGGGGAAAAGAGGATGAACATTAGGATTTGGGATTTAGGGTTAGGGAAAAAGATGAATAGTACTTCAGTTTGGGGGTTTTAATCTTTAAAAATAGGTTGGAAAAATGTGTTTTATGTTTGTAAGGATCAAACAGAAGGGGAAGAGGAAGAGTCTTGGTTGAAGAATGGGAAAAAGGGATTAATGGTGGGATTTGAGATTTAGGGTTAGGGAAAAAGATGAACAACACTTTAGTTTGGGGGTTTTGATCTTGAAAAACAAGTTTGGAAAAAGTGTTTGATGTTTCTAAGGATCAAACGAGGAACAGATGATGAAAAAAGTTTGAATTTTGGTTGGGTTTGATTGAGTGAAACAGATGAGGTGAGTTGTTTTTTGTTTTCGAGAATCAAAAAGGGGAAAATAGAAGAACACGTGAAGAAAAATATAAATATGTTGGGTTTTGATCAAAAAAAGGTTTGGCCAAGGTTTTTGGTGTTTGTAAGGATCAAACACGAGTTTTATGGATGGACAAGAGATAAACAATAGGTGTTTGATCGAAAAAATTCAAAAAAATTTGGGATTTTGGTGTTTGTGGCTAAGAATTCTAGAGAGAATGCAGAGAATTTGAGAGAAACTTTTTGCCTTTAAAGTTTTGGTTGAGAGGTAAAACTTTTTAGAGAAAAATTATGTATATTATATATATATATATATATATATATATGAAAACTTGAAGATTATTTTAAAGTTTTCATTGAGAGGTGCAATTGGCTACTTTTTAAATTGACAAAGATTCTAGTGGTATCTACACCAATTTATTAATTATATTCATATATTCAAAATTGTAAAAATAACTGACTTGAATTCATAAAATAAAAATTTTATTCGAGTAGATTCTAAAGTAACTCGAATAACTTATTTGTCAATTTTAAATTTGAAAAATAATTTAATGAGTTAACTTTGTGAACTAAATTCAAATAAATATTTTTCTTTATTTTTAATTATATTAATGTTGCTTTCAAACACATTTATTACATTAATTTCAGGGATAGACCTATGTGGGGCAAGTGACGACGGTCGTTCCTCGTAAAATTTAAAATTATAATATATATTTTAGATTTTTTTTATTTATTTTCTATTGAAAATCTGTTTTTACCTCTTAAAATTTTATAGGTGCAAGTTCAACTCCTTGAAATTTTAAAAATTCACATTCACTTCCCCTAACATAAAATCTTGCATCCGTCCCTGATTAATTCCATTATTTAATCGATGTTGGAGGTCACAATACTAATGTGACCGTTAATAATACTAGTGTGATAACTTATTTTGTTGATATTCATATTTGAACGATGATGTGATAGAAATTATAAATTATAAATTTTAGTACAAACTTACAATCTAAAGATATTTATAAACTATTAAAAATTGAATAAATTTATAAAAAGTAATTTTTAATTGTCTCTTGTTAGCTTCAATTTATTATTCCCTCTTCGTCTTATTAAATGTGTTTATTTTAATTTTTAAAATTATCTTATTTAAAATATTTTATTAAAAAAATCAACAAACAATAATACTTATATTTCTTTATTTTTGTATGTCTCACTCATTTACGCCTATCAAATTAAAATCCATCAAATCTATTAATTACTTTTTAATGATAATTTTATCATTTTATTTGATTAAATATATCTCTTAAAATTATGTATATAATCAATATAAAACACAAATTATAGAACGAAATAATATTATTCCTTAAAAATGTTTTCAATAGAATCATCACTGTAGAATGATAAACTGTTTTTCCAGTCCACGCATGATGGTTGCTAAGGTGCTTTACACAGGAATGATAAATTGTTTTATAATTAATGTAAAGTATTACTATTATGATGATGATGATGATAGGTGGGGAACCAATGCATTAAAAATTGCAGTAGGCCCTAACCCTAAAGACAGACAGGAAGAGGATAAGAAGGTGAAGGCTTTGGGGTTTAATTAATTTGGTAATAGAACAAGATGAATTCATTTTTGGCATAATATCAGAATAAGTCCTAAACATTTACTGAAATGATTATTTTGGCTCCATTTCTTTTTTGTAGTACTTTAGCCCCCAATATTTTATTTTAGGATAAAAAAGCTCCTAATGTATGACTGAATAGTCACTTTGATCTTCATTCTTTTTTTTTCCTGAAGTATTTTGGCCACCAACATTTTATTATAGAGTAAAACGACCTCTATTTTAGAACGTTAACAACTTATTAACTAACGGTTTTCATTCACAAATGAATATTTTTACCATAAAATGAAACACTAGGAGCCAAAATACTAAAAAAATAGGGGTCAAACTTACCATTTAATCAAACTTATAAGCCTTTTTGATATTATACCTTTTCTTTTATCATTATGATATCGATTTGATATATTAATATTAAACATAAAAGGGATTTGATTGATTTAAAAAAATAATTTCACTCACTTCAAATTCCATCCTGAATTTAATGATAAACTTATTCCTATACATTAAGATGACACCATTATTCGTTTAGTGTTTATTTAATTATTCAATTGATCAATTTTAGTTGGATCTGCATTTCATGAGAGGTTTTGTTTTGTTTTGGAGCATATATGTGTATAGGTTAGAAGATGTTTTATTTGAATTAAGTTGTACTCATAGTAGCATTAAATAAGGTGTTTTATTATTACTGTAAATTATTACTACTATGACGATGATGATGGGTGGGGGACCAATGCATGAAAATGTGTAATAACCCCCAACCCTAAACACACACATGGGCTTTGGGGGTTGAGGCTTTGGTTTTTCCTTGTTTTAGACTCTTAGTTTATTTCAATTTAAAAACAGTAAAGGAAATGTGATGTTATCTATAGTTTTTTAAAATCCATTTTTGAAATCGACCCTCATTTTTATTGTTTTCTAAAATAACATATTTTATCGATCAAACATATTATATAGAATACATATAGATTTTGTCAGTCATGTTTTTCAAAATTATGATTGACGGAATACATTTTTATCTTACGTGACATGTTCGATAAATAAATATTTTATTGCTTAAAGCGAAAGATGATGCGATAAAAAGAATCTAAAAAATTATCTAACGACTATTTCTCGGTATTCATTTTTTTATAGATTTCATTGATCGATAACACTAAAAATTATTTGAAATCGGATTAGTAAGAATGGTAAATTTTAAAACATATTAAAAAGTGGTTCCAATTGTTGCATTCGGAATAAAAAATAGTCTAAAAATTGAATATTAAATAATTACGTATTTAAAAAAATTTCGTTGCTATAGGATAAACCATCTACGTTACAGAAGTTTACAAAGAAAAAAGTATGGATTTTTAGTTTCGTAGACAAAATTTTCATTTGATTTCATGGAAAATGTTTGAATTTTTTTCAATCTTTCAAGTGACGTCTTAATGAATATTTTTAAAGCGTGTTGCGCAATACATTGCCTGTAACTTTATCAAATTGCATCAGATCTGTAAGACATTTCGTGAAATCACTAACAACAACTACTACATTAAGCATATAATAATGGACATGTGGGTGATATTATTTGCTGAATCGCATGTAACACCTTCAACTCGATTTTATTGAAAATCAAATAAAAAATATTATATTAATTGACTAAAACATTTCATCATACAAAACATCATTTTTAACAAGGCCTATATCACTATAAAAAATAATCATGCAAAACATCATAAATCTCACTAATTTGGACCAAAAGATCAATTATAACAAACATGATCCCAGAGGAAAACTAAACATCCAATAAGGGTTAAAAAACAATTTATCCAATTTAGGGTTTACTTTAGGGGCTGTTTGGTTCAAGGAATGTGGGATTCCATAGGAATGGAATCCACATTCCCATGTTTGATTGGCCGGAATCTCATTCCCGGTAATGTTTTATTACCAATAGTAGATTTTTTGGTATATTACCGGGAATGTCATTACCTTCCTTTTCTTAGGTATTATTGGATTACCAACGTTTTAAACTAAAATGCCCTTAATTTTTTTTTCAAAAATATCTTATTCTGCCATTGAATAATAAAAATTTTACGAAGGTTAAATTACAAATTTATCTTTAAATTATTTTAGATTTACAAAAAAAGTCTATAATTAAAATTTTATATGAAGTTCAGGAGTTGAAATAAAATTTTATCCTTTCATTAAACCTTTTTATATTTTAATTTTGTAAATATATATATATATATATATAAATTTTATGAATTTAAATTTTTTAAAGAAAATATATAAATATTTTTCAACTTGTTAAAAAAACAAATATATATAAGGACAATTTGGTCAAATATATATTCTAATAATATTTTATTTCTTTAACCAAATACGATAACCTTACATTCCTGCTAAACCAACCAAACAAAAAATACAACATTCCCATTAATTCTATTCCCTGATAATCTTACATTCCCACTGATTATTTTACATTTTATTAACCAACCACACCGAAAGGTATACAAAACTCAAAACTCCATTAGAAAGTTTTTTTAAACCACGTAAAATTCTGTAGGGCCAGGGAATTGAAACGGACAACATCCAAAAGAAAATTATTTTTTTAAGAAAATCAAGACACATAATTAGCTACATCTCTTCCTCTACCTACCGACTGAACATGTTGCATCAGACACCATACAAACGACTCTTTCGAATGGCACGACTCATGAAGTATACTTCCTACCTCACCCGATGCATCTTATTATGAAAAAGATATAAATCTGTTAGTAAAATATTTTTTATATGCAACATTTGAGTAAAAAAAAGCCCAGTGGATGCAAAGCCTGAGATATAGAACCGAGCCCTGTTGAAAATGGTCATTTAACCATTCTTTTTGGGTATAAGATAGTGGGTTTAAGCGCAGTTTGAAATTTGAGTTTGCTTTTGATAAAATTTGAACATTCATGTTTACATATCCCTTTGATCACTGGCACTACCAAAGCGTGTACAACGGTTCTACTACGTTAGTGATGCGTGAAAATGGAGCCGTCACTCAACAGTAACAAAAAGAACCAGTTGCTCCGGACACTGCATCGGATTATATAACTTCCGGTTGCTTGCTAGTGAAAATGTGAAAGCACACCATTGTGACAACAAAAGGTGCTACAGTGGCTGCCGATGCTCCTGCTTCACGTTGGGAGATTTCATCTTCTCCAACACCTTAATTTTGTCAAGCAACTCCTGGATGGTATTGGATGCGTCCTAAAAGGCAATCCATTCTCAATATTCATGTCCCTTATGAGAAAAACACATCTACCATGTAAAATGATGCGATGAAAGTCGATAGAAAGTGGGGTGGACAGAATACAATACCTTCAACTTTTTTCTCAACTTCTCTTCCTCTTCGTCTCTTCGATCTCTCTCCTCTGAGAATATGCCAACGAGACTTTCTTGTTCAGGTTCAGTTGCTCAATTTTTTTCTGTGCCTCTGCAAGCTGATAAACAAAAAAATAAATAAAAAAATGAAGTGTAACAATTCCTTGCATTTTACTTAAAGCTAGTTGGAGAAGAGAAATACCTCAATTTCAGTGATTGACGCCTGTTTTTTTCCTGTTGCAAATCGTTGAGCAATTGATCTTGATGTCCTCCGCCTTCATATTTCTTTAATCTACAAAAGGATAATAGCATCTTTTAGATTAAAGTCAGGTCATCCTGAAACTCGTAAATGATAAAATAGATAAGTTATAAAAACCTTTCTTTTAATCTTGAATTTTCCTGTTTCAACTGCTCTATGATACGCAAATCGGTCTCGGGAAGTGATGGATCATCATCATTCCGACCAAGTTCCTGCGATTTGAAGAGAAAGTGATTATCGGAGACACCTAAATATAACGGTTCAGAAAGACCATTTTTCTGGCAAAAAACTACAACACAAAAATAACGTCTGCATGCATGTACATATGAAAATAAGTGCTTGAAAGAAGCACTGGAATCAAAGATAACCAATGCATAAGAATAACCTTAGACTTTGATCGTGTAACAAACTTTTTACTGCTCCCATTAGCTTGCTTCTCAGGCAAGATCTCACACACATTATCACTGTCATCTTCTGCAGAAGGAGAAGATGATTTAAAAGAGCTTAATCCTTTTCCAGATTTTGAAGTGGCCATCGTGCTGTTATCTGCCAGTGCCTTTCTCCTATTTTCACCCTTGCTAAACACATGTCCATCTCCACCATCTTTTCCTCTTTTATTCCAATTTGAAGGTGAATACAACTTGTCCGAGTCTGTAGACAGTCTCTTGCTGCTGGATGCACTCTTCTTATTGGATCGAGTAGATTGTTGCATATCAAGATCAGGAGAGGTATCTAAAGGATCAAAAAGTTTGAAATCAATCAGGGAGTAACTTAAAATTCACTGTCAGCAACAAGCATTTCTTTAAAACGAAAAAGAGAGAAGTGGCATACCTCTGTCTAAAGACTGTTCTATACCTTTCTTATTTCGCCGTGGAGCATAGCCAATTCTATGACAATTGGTTGTCCTAAAATAAATAAGTCAAAAGCCATTAGAAATTAGCTTGGATCAATAGCAACAATTGAAAGAAAAGGTAAAATTGTTGACAACAAACCAGTAAGTTTTTTGCATTTCTTTTAGTCGTGCTTCAAGTCTAGCAAGAACCGTTGTACGCTCAAAACCCTGCTTATCATGAGCCGGCTCAATAAAATTAGCCTCCAAAACACCTGTCATAAGGAAGCACATTAGAACAATTTTTTGGGGGTGGGGGAGAAACCCAGCGTGTTAGGACATAAACTAGTGAACTAAATAGCTGTGCCCAGTGCCAAAAATGTACCTATAACCCCACGACCATCACTCCCAGCAGCATTCCAGACCCTCCAAAATGGCTGGAGAAATAGGTTAAAAGGCATCAGGGAAGAGCAATATCAAACGGAAACACATGGATGTAAAATTGACTAGCATGTTATGCAAAGTGCAAAAACACACTCTCATTAAAGCGTCAATTAAAATACAAGTGAAATCAATGGAAGACCCAGAGTGGATTAACATCACAAATTATGCTACCAGAGGAAAGCAGTATGGTACATCTCCCCCTTCTGAAATCAAGTCAGACATCTTAGACATGCATTGAGGGATCCAGTTCACAAAAATATGAAAATTATGCAAATTACAAAATAGATAACTTAATAAAAGGAATATGAATAGGCAATCCTTGTGATACATCAAATTTGAAGAAAATATGGAGAAAACCTTGATGAGTCGGTTTTTATGATAAACATTAAAACCTTGAACATCAATATGATATTTGGCATCTTTCACAAAACCAATGGTCACCACAGCAGCCAGCTGATGACAAAAGTGAAGAAAATCAGCGTCAAACAAGCATATAGCAAAGCAAATAGAAGACAAATATAATACTATTCAATAATTATTACATTCAAATCTTTGGGGGCTCCCTCAGCACTGGGATTTGGTCGGTAGGTTATCATCTCAGTCAGCATCATATCATTAACTATGCTGTGGTGCTCAACATCTTTCCCACATAAGATGATTCTGAAGTTAGGTGGAAGTCTCAAATAAAGTATTGATGCATAACTCTGCCAAATGAACACAGAAAATAAACTATAATCAATAATATATGCCAGAAAATAAATGTGCTATCTTAAGCTAAGGCATAATAAAACAAAAAGAGCATCAACGGTATAAATCATAATTTTTCTGCCATGGAAAAAGAGGAATATGATGTTAGTTACCCTCAATGAATGTCTATACGTCAGAAAGTGCCTAGAGTTCGGAAACTCTTTAGCCATTTGTATATTTTTTTCATCACGGTTAACACCTCTGAGTTGGATATCCTGCCAAGAATAATTCACCCCATAAGTTTAACATAACAAATGCATTCTATTCTGTTTGTATTTGGATTTTAATAGTAAACAAAAGGTCCAGAACAATTGAGACATACATGTTGGTCGGCATGAAAATCAAGCTCCGATAGCCCCTGGTCATCCTCCCAAAGATTATATATAATAATCCGTGTCCCGTGGTCTTTCATGAGATTGAACTAGAGGCAGGAAAAGTGAACAATTTACCACAATCACAATAGAAAAGCACAAAGCAAGAAAAGCTAAACAAATAAGTCGGAATATGAAACAGCTACTTTCCCAGACATCCTCAACAATCATCTTTCTAATGGGAACAAAATTGTGCTTGTTTCCTTTTGCCAATCAAAATGATTTTAACTCCAAAAAACAAAATCTTGGACCAAAACTTGGAATTGTGAAAGGAGAACCAGAATTACCTGACGAAGGAGGTCTGCTTCACTTGAAAATGGAGACCACTGTACTATGGTGTCTACATTCCTATCCCAATCACTGACAGTAGATCGCATCAACTTTCTCCATTCACTTTGTTTCCATTCATAATCTAGCTGTTCATTTCAATCCCCATAATGATTAAAGGGCACAACTAGAGCATAGTCTCTGCAGTAGCTTTCCATCTTTAAGCACATAAAATTATATGCTACACAGGCATATGATCCCTCAACTTTATCTTTTATTTTTTCTATCCTGAAAGAAATGACTTCTAGCATGGCTTCAATAGGAAAATAAACAGCAGAAATACTTGGCTTAAGCACAAGATTATTTAATCTCTAGTTTTATGTAAGCCGCTCATAGGAGAAACACCATAAATTAACAATCTCTGCAGTGAATAATGGGATGATTGAGAAAATAACAGACTAAACCAATAGCATGGAGAAACAAATTGGTGATTTATTTCACTTAAGAAAATTCTCTCAGGTTTGCATGTTGTCAAAAACATAAGTTGAGCTGAAGAAATAAACCTTCTATTGCATTGAACTTATACTCATTTGGCTATAAAAGTTACTAACTTACTACCACCATTCCAAATGCAATGACAGTTACAACCATCATATTCATCATACAAGCAACGTAAATTTCCTAGTGGTTATTACCATGGGCACCACAATGTCTTCCATTCCTGTGCTTGTCAAAAAAGTGTAGGATAGTAATCCAATGCTCTGCGTGGGGCTACAAACAACCGGATAATAAGATTACTTGTTGCAGCAACAATGAATAAAAAGTGGAGTTCAAAGAGGAAGTAGAAGAATTTTGGTATGTCAAAAATAAAAATAAAAGCATAAAATCCAATAATGATGGAAGATATGCATGAAGAGAAAACCGTGGTCACACAAAATATTTGGAAATTATTGCCACTGTCACAACAATGCATCAGGACCCATAAGGAGAGGGTGAACTCAGGGTGAAAATTATTAGCCACAGCAAGACTCAACAAGCAAAATGTTCAAAATCAAATAAGTCATTGAACAATACCCATTTACCCTCTAAAAGAACCCAATCTACTCAACATTAACCACTGGTACCTTGGACTAAGTAAATACTGATGAACCAAGTACAACCACTTAATTTACTTTCTCAAGTAGACACAATACACAGTTACTACTTAAGCAACACACAGACAGCAGAAAACTTTTTTTTACCAAAACTCCATGAAAATGAAGTTACACAAAATCCATCATAAACAATTAAATTATCAAATATTATACTAGCTCAAAAATATTAAGAAAGACTAACTGCTTTCCATCTTTTCCACAACATCGAGAAAATACAATAACATCTGCACCAAGCCTCATGGTACTCGTCTTGAATCCATTGCCATCTGTAGAAAAGGAATACGAGAATTAAAATTGCTTTATGAGGAAGACAAATAATTGGTTATAAAGTATTTCTTTTCCAAATGATAGAAATTCATAAGTACATTGTCCAATTGTGTTTGCTACTTGCTTTTTGCAGAATATCCAAGGGACATGCAATGACGCATTTTATCAGGATCCATCCCACCACCATTATCTGCAATGAAATGTGATAAACATCCAAAACTCGTCATGTTATCAACACAAAAATGAAAATCTTGTTTCTTTCAGGACCAGACAAAATGTGATACTTTTTCCATATAACATCATTAAAAGGGTGAAGAAAATAAATACACAATAAAACTAACTGTTTCAAGTAGCACCTTCATACATACAGAAATAAGCAACTCAAATTGCACAATAATCATAAGAAACATATCACGTATATTAAACGTAGTGAAATACCTTCAATTACCAAGATTCTATTCCCATCCTTCTTACTTTTGAGGACATCTATGTTAACATACGTAGCTCCATTGCAAACCTGAAATCAGAAAACGAAAGACACTTGCAAAACTGGGAAAAGGAAAGCTAAATATTACACAATAGGAGAAGTATTGGATTCAAGTACCTCGTCCAAAGAGTTGTCCAGAAGTTCCGCAAAAGCTGTAGAAGTAAAATAATAAACATAGCCAAGAAGGCCCATAAGAGCAAGGAACGTTAACAAGAAAAGAACAGAAAAATGCACAGCAAAGATGTGAATATATGTTAGACAACTCTACCTCCAAGGGCCCATTTATGACTCGTTGCATTGGAATGCAGAAATTTTGGATGAACCCTGACATGATCCATACCACCTACAGTCAAATGAGATTAAGGGCACAAGCATTGAACAAAATCAATAAATAAAGAAACAGATCTCCAGCAATTAATTGTTTAGGCTCCGCATGATTAAATTGATAATTTGAAATTCCCAATAAATTTAGCAATGCAAAACAGAGTTAAGGGTATAAAGAGGTCAGCATATTTTTCAAGCAATGCAAAACTCAAAATGCAGACACCCCACCGTCTTCAAGTTTGCTCATAAAACTCATAGATTCTCATCTTCCGATGGCAACATACAATATCATATACTAAAAAATGACTCCAAAATATCTTTGCTTCTCTAGGTTTCAAATTTGGAACCAAATTAACATTGTCATCCTGCAAGCAAGATACATAACTAATAACTTAAAATACAACATTATTAATCAACAGTATTACCTGTAGATAACTCCCAAGCGCTAGATGGACCTCCATCATAATCCCCGGCCTTCCAGAACTGCTTGCAAAGCACAGTTGCACTCACACTACTAGTTGCCGCCTGTTCCAGCGAGTTCGTCGTCGCGGAAGCCTCCGCCACCGTCAAAGGCATAGGAGCCAGGTCATCCGGCGGTAGAGAAGCCAAAAACCCCAGCGGCAGCACAAAGCCAGCATCATTCACCTTCCGCTTCTTCGAAGCCCTCCCTTCAGGCCCTTCCCCTGCAGAAACGGCACCGTTTACATTATCGTTCTCGTCCAGATCGTCTGAACCGCTCGAGTCAGAATCGCTGCTACTGCTGCTGAGCTCGATAACCGAGGAAGTTTGTTGCCGTACAACTCCGCCTACTTTCCCTCTTTCAGCGCTTAACATTTCCATAATTTCTTCCTTCACGCGAACGTCCATGGTGTAACGGCCAAAATAGAACCAAAGAAAAAGAAAACCGAAAATTCAGGAAAAAAGGAGAAGAAAAAGAAGAAAGTTCAAATTTCAGAGATTCCGCAGCTAAGACGCCTTTGCATGTGAGATTTGAAAAGTTTAATCATTCAAAAAAAATACAAATCCAGATTCTCGAGAAAACTTTTCTTTCGCTTGGGGGAAAAGATTTAAGGAATGAAAGAACTTGGATTTTTTTTATCAAAGAGAACTTCGTTCAATTAAAAAGGCCAAATGAATGAACTTGAAAAGAATACATGAACAATAGATAAATAAGTCGGCGTTAGCGTCGGCGTTTGAGCTTCTGGAGTCAATCAAAGCGGCTGCGACTTCCCGTTTTTACGTCGACGCCTCGGCTTTCCTGACGGTTTATGTTTTTCAAATGATTATCCGAGCCCAACTGTAATGCTATAACTTATATTTGGGCCATAGGCCCGTTTTTAATTACGTAGTTAATTATTCACCCACAAATTACAGTAAATAATTAAGATTACATCTTTAATGCACATCATTATAGGTTAATTTTATTAAAATCAACAAGTGGTCTAAGTAGGTATAGGGCGATACTTTTTCTATGTTATATGAGTTCGAATAATATTATGTGTATATATATATATATATATATATATCAAAAAGAATAAAAATATAAGGGTAAAATAGAAATTGTCACTTTTGTTAGAGTTTTATAATTTTTCTTACTGAATTCAGAAAACATAAGATTTAGTTATTTTTATTTCGTTTTAATTAAGATGTAGTCACTGAATATTAACGACTGTTAAGTCTTTAACAATTTACTGATGTAACACGGAAAATATATAAAATTAAAATTACATCATTTCCACGTAAATAATATGTGAATAAAGTTTCGGTCACTTTCCTTTAAAAAAACATAAGTTTTGATTACTTACTATAAATACTTATTTTCGTTCGGACAAATTTATATATATATATATTATATATATATATATATTATATATATATTATATTGTATATATTATATTAGTAATATATTATATTTAGTATATTATTATTATTATTATAGTATAGTATATTTATATGTATTATATGTATATATTATATTTATATTTTATATATTGGTATTTGTATTATATAGTATTATTATTATTTTATATATTTTTATTTATTTAATTAGTTTGATTTGGTTCAGGTCCAAATTAGAGTCCAAGTCTAGTCCAAAACCGGGAAACCCAACAAGCAAAGCCCAAGCCCGCCTATCGAACCCATGAAGCCAATAGGTTAGGGTTTCGTATCAAGCTAAGCGGTGTTGCACAAATGAAAACCGTTATATCAAGATGGAGATCAACGGCCAGAATCATGAGAGAGTTAGGGTTTTTAAACCCTAAAATATCATCACACCACAATCAATCATGGGCTGTTGGGTTTGCAACCAATCCAACGGCCAACATCAAATCCCAAAATACTCCAAAAGCTCAAGAGTCAACGATAACAACGCGTGGGAATCACGGGCCGGCGAGATTACTAGTTGGCCAAAATTTTCAGCGACTGAAACGCAAAAATCAAAGCAACTCAGGACTGAACCATCTCGAGATCTCTAGTCAAACACAACCATTAACAGCCCAAAAAATCACAAAATCAGAGCAAACAACCCACATGAACTCAGTCAGCCGGATTTCTAGCAAAAATCCTGTCACTTTCAGGACCACAACGACAAGATCTAAGGCTATAAAAGCCTTCGACGGAGCATCAAACAACAACACAATAACCACGAAGAAACTCGAGCAAGATACGACGGCAGAAACTAATTAAACCAACAAGAAACCCATCGTGCAACACAACCAAAAACAAGCAACATAACAAGAAAAAACAAGGCAACATATAGCAAAAAAACTTAGAAATCGAAAAACAAACATACAAAACCCATGCCAAAACGAAACACTTGGTATATGATCCAAAAACCCATAAAACCCCAAGCTTCAAGTCTTGGTTTTTGATAGGTAGAGAAAAGCATAGCTGCGGGGAACCAAAGGTCGCCAGAAATTGAAGTGACACCATTGGAAAATGTAAAGACAGTATCTTTTTTTTATAGATCTACATCGTTAAAGTGGTTTTTAGTCCGTTTGGGTTTAAGTTTCGGGTTCACGAGGATAAGAAGATTTTTTGGGGGTAAGTTTAAATTTTTTGGTGGCCAAAACGATGGTCGGGCTGCGGAAGGGGTCACCGGTGAGTGACCGATGCTAGGCCTGTTAGGGAAGGTTGAGAGAATTGGGAGAGAATTGGGGAGTGATTTTTGGTGAAATGAGATAAAATGAATTTTTTTAAGTTTTAAGGGGTCTTTATAGGAGGGACCACCTTGTAAATACCAAAATTTTAAAAATTATTTTCACAGTCCCTGTTATTTTGATGCGTAATTCATTTTGGCTACTTATTGTAAAATTGACCTTGAATTTTGAATTAATTCAATTTAGTCCCTGTTTATATTTATGCAATTAAACCTTCTAACTTCTTTTTTTTTCCTTACAACTTGTAATTAATATCAATTTGATCCTTGATTTTTTAATTCTTTTCAGTTTAATCATTTTAATTTTCTTTTTATTATTTTGTTTATTTTCTTTTTATCTTTTTTTAAATATTAATTTGGTTTATTTTTTAGGGACAATTTTAAAATCTATCAAAGATAAGTAATTTGGATCGAATTTTTAAATTTTAATTTTTGCAATTAAGGCAACATGAAAATTAAATTGGTACCGATAGGGCAGTACAAGGGTGTTAATCCTTCTTTGACTGTAATTGACTCTCAAATTGGATTATTTTCTGGTAAGACACATATCAGATAAGTGGTAAGTTAAAGTGTCCAGTCAAACTAATTTTAAATGATCAGTGATGGCTCTAATGCATTAAATTTAAGTCGAAATCCGAGTCCGGGCCCACCCGAAGGATGGCTACAATACTTACATTATTGGTTTATTAAGTTTTGGTCACTTACGTTATCGTTTTAATAAGTTTTGAACACTTTGACATTGAATGTCGTTAGTTTAATGACGTGACTGTTGAAAACATTTTGATATTTCGATATAACAAACTAAGTTTAATGAATTTTAAGATTTTACAAATGATTTTCTAAGTATATTCGAATCAATTAATTGAATATCAATTTATTACTACAAGTCTTTCAAGATCATTTTCAAGCCTTACTAAATGTGTAAAATTGTGTTTTATACTTAAACTATTTTTTAAACAAATTTCACAAAGTATTTTGAACTGAAATCAAGCCTAAAATCAATTTTTCAAAGTGAAGCACCAATCCATGCATCGATGCACCAATTAATTTTTCAAACATATGCATCGATGCACAAGACCATGCATCGATGCACTCAGGATTTTTCAAAACATCGAATGCATTTTATGCATTGATGCACTCTTAGTGCACCGATGCACTGAGAGTCCAACGGTCAAAATATTTAAATTTTACAATGATGCACCTAGGGTATGCATCGATGCACTGACGCTCCCAACTGAATTTATTAATTGTTTTCATACTTAAATGGCTCTATTGACTCCACTAACCATCCCCAAACGTTCAAAATCATTTGAAGGTGTATTTAAACAAGCTTAGAAGCCATTGATCAATAAAAAGAAACAACAAGCAACTAGAATCAAGAGAGAATCAAAGAGAAAGCATAAAACCTCAAGTTTGAGCATTTCAAGCCTATTTTTCATTCAATATTCATTTTTCTTTCAAGAACACTACTTATACTCAATTGTATTCATTCTTGAGTGTTCTTTTCTTTGTTCTAGAATTGTGCAAACAATCTACCTTGTGAGGATTTCCTTGTAAGTTTGCAAATTTGTAATATTCTCTTTGAGAAAGAGTGTTCTCAAGAATTGGGGTATATTCTTGAGGGAGTTGTAAGGTTATCTCTTTGGCCTCAAAAGAAAGAACAAATTAGTGAATTTATTGTAAAACCCTTAGTGTGGATAGGTAAGGTAGTGGATGTAGACTTTGGTTGAGAAAGTCAAAACCACTCTAAATTGCTATGCAATTTCTTTCAATTTTCTGCAAAAGCTTCCACCAAAATTTTAATTACCAATTCACCCCCTCTTGGCCGATTCCGTCAATCGATTAACTCAATAATTGGTATCAGAGCGTCACTTATTTGAAGGTTTAATCGCCTTTTGAGTTGATTCGGGAAGAGTTACATCGATAATCAAAGTCATCAATGGCCTCCACTTCAAACGTCGACTCCGGTCTCGATTCGATGCCCGTCAACAAGCCTTCTTTCTTCAATGGAGCTAACTATGCCTATTGGAAGAATATGATGATGTATTTCATTCAAGCCAGTGACATGGGAGCATGAAATGTTGTAGAAGACGGATATATCAAACATCTCACTCATCCAAGATTGTGGAGTGAATGAGAGACAAGAATGTTCCAGCTCAACTCCAAAGTTATCCATATCATATTTTGTGCTCTTGGACCAGATGAATATGGAAGATTTTCATCTTATACAACCGCCAAAGAAAATATGGGATAAACTACAAGTCACTCATGAAGGCACCGACAAGGTAAAAGAATCTAAAATTAGTCTTCTAACACATAGCTATGAAAATTTCAGGATGAAACCAAATGAAGATATCAAAGTTATGACGGATAGATTCTCAACTATTGTCAATGGTCTCAAATCATATGGAGAGATCATTCCTAATGAGAAGCTTGTGAGGAAGTTAGTTTACTCACTTCCAAAATCATGGCAATCCAAGAAGATGACAATCATCGAGGCTAAGAACCTAAAGTCATTAACTCTTGAAGAGCTAATCGGTTCTCTCCTTAGTCATGAAATGATGCTTGAAGATGAGGTGGACCTCGATAAGATTGAAGAGACACAAAAGGAGAAGGAGAAGAAGAAAAACATTGGAGTTGCTCTCAAATCCACAAAAGATAAGAGTGATTCGGATGAAGATGACGATGACGAGGAAATGGCATTGTTTGCCAAATGGTTCAGAAAAATGATGAGACCTTACCAAGGAAGAAAATTCAAATGAAATGAAGGCCTAAAAAATGAACCAAAAGAGAATGACTCGATCATTTGCTATGAATGCAAAAAGCTAGGGTATGTCAAATATGAATGCCCACAATTAAAGAGAAAAGGTCAATCAAAGAATAAGAACAAGGCTCATGTGGCTACATGGAGCGATGAAGAAGGTTCTGATGAAGAGGAATAAAAAGTAGCAAACTTGTGCTTGATGGCATTCGTGGAAGATTCTAAGGTAACCTCTAACTCATCTGATTTTG